AGTTACAGGCTGGAGTGAGCCGAGACCGTGCTACTGCACTCCAGCCTGGGCAACAGAGTGAGACCCTGTCTCACAAACAGACAGACAGACAGACAGAGATTCTCTGGACAGGACATCAAGAATTACACCAAAAGCCGGTAGTCCTCTAACTTAGATTTAACAAGAATGCAAAGGCACAGCTAGCCGACTGTGTAATACTGGTGGAACTATGATAAAACCGCTAAACGAAGAGAAAGGTAACGGCAGAGGCCACCGGCCTGTCGCTCCGACCACTCTGCATTTCTAACACGCTGCGTTGAGCTCTCACTGCTTCATGACCAGTGTGACTTAAACATTACAGACCCTGTTGAAGCTCCTCGGCGATTCTCAGCTAAAAAACTGTGCTCGGTGCTAATTTTTCTTTTTTCTTTTTTTTTGTTTTTGAGACAAGAGTCTCCCACTCTGTCACCCAGGCTGGAGTGCAGTGGTGCAACCTTGGCTCACTGCAACCTCCGCCTCCCAGGTTCAAGAGATTCTCCTGCCTCAGCCTCCCGAGTAGCTGGGATTACAAGTGCCTACCACTACGTCTGGCTAATTTTTTGTATTTTTAGTAGAGACGGGGTTTCAACATATTGGTCAGGCTGGTCTCGAACTCCTGACCTCAGATGATCCGCCCGCCTCAGGCTCCCAAAGTGCTGGGATTACAAGTGTGAGCCACCGCACCTGGCCTGTGCTCAGTGCTAATTAAAAGCACTGCTGCATTCAGTTTTCCACATGGGATTAATGTTTCATTCTGAATACTTGCAACACTAATTCAACTTCTAAAAAAACTATGAGATTCATAAGACCATATAAAATAAAATAAAGATAATCAACATTATCAACAGGTAACTGTAAACTTTTCTCATGCCTTCAAGAGTGAATGTGCATCCCATTCTCACTGACCAACAACTAAGCAGCTCAGATACCAACCCTATTTATGGATGAAAATGTCAAGGAAGTTCCTACCCAGGGCTATGATTATCATTTTTTGTTCATTTGTTTTAGAGACAGTGTCTTGCTCTGTTGCCCAGGCTGGAGTCCAGTGTCGCAATCCCAACTCACTATAGCCTCAAACTCCTGGGCTCAGGTGATCCTCTTCCCTCTGCCTCCCAGGCAGCTGGGGACTATAGGTGCACACCACCACATCTAGCTAATTGTTAATTTTTTTATAGAGATGGGGGGAAAGGTCTCATCATTTTGCCCAGGCTAATCTCAAACTCCTGGGCTCAAGCTGGAGTGAGGTGGCGCGATCTCGGCTCACCGCAAGCCCCGCCTCCCGGGTTCACGCCATTCTCCTGCCTCAGCCTCCCGAGTAGCTGGGACTACAGGCGCCCACCACCACGCCCAGCCAATTTTCTGTATTTTTAGTAGAGATGGGGTTTCACCAAGCTGGCCGGGCTGGTCTTGAACTCCTGACCTCATGATCCGCCCGCCTCGGCCTCCCAAAGTGCTGGGATTACAGCATGAGCCACCGCACCCGGCCTGGTTATCAATTTTATAAGCTAAGAAAACCTACCCAGCCGGGTGCAGTGGGTCACGCCTGTAATCCCAGCACTTTGGGAGGCCGAGGCGGGCAGATCACGAGGTCAGGAGATCAAGATCACAGTGAAACCCCGTCTCTACTAAAAATACAAAAAATTAGCCGGGCGCAGTGGTGGGTGCCTGTAGTACCAGCTACTCAGGAGGCTGAGGCAGAAGAATGGCGTGAACCCGGGAGGCAGAGCTTTCAGTGAGCCGAGATCGCGCCACTGCACTCCAGCCTGGGTGACAGAGCAAGACTCCACCTCAAAAAAAAAAAAGGAAAACCTACCCAAAACTCCTAAAAAATAAATTGCCGTCTTTGTTTTGGCAATTCTTGAAACAGGCTTTTGTAAATACTGCTGTCCAAATGCTGCCATAAAATTGGTACACAAAATCTGTTATCTGATCAGTTTTCTCATGGCAGGTTATATAAAACATAGGTACTTTTTTGTTTGTTTGAGACAGTCTCACCCTGTCGCCCAGGCTGGAGTGCAGTGACGCAATGATCTCAGCTCACGGCAACCTCCACCTCCCAGGTGCAAGCGATTCTTCCGCCTCAGCCTCCCGAGTAGCTGGGATTACAGGCGTGCGACAACATGCCTGGCTAATTTTTGTATTTTTAGGAGAGACAGGGTTTCACCATGTTGGCCAGGCTGGTCTCGAACGCCTGACCTCAAGCGATCTGCCTGCCTCAGCCTCCCAAAATGCTGGGTTTACAGTCATGAGTCACCACGCCCGGCCAAAACTTATATACTTTAAAAGCAGCCAATGTTTCTAAACAAAAGTCATTTCCCGCAAGAAAGAATGTCTAGTTAACCTAAAGTCATTCAAATAATGCATATCATCTTGTTTCAAGGTTTTATGAGACTGAAATGCATTTTGCTATGATTCCAGTGTTATTCTGAGTTTTAGTTCATAGCTTACTCTTTTCTTAAGGAAGCACACATTTTCCCTGGAGCAATTCAAGGAGGGACTAACTCAACAACTCAACACCAGGTTCGTGGCAGTTTCACACCCTTGGTTATGTGTATACTGTATCACCTAAGCCATCAGAACACAGAAGGTAGCTGCACTAAAACGCTAAAATGTATAAGCACATTAATTCAAATCAAGACAGAAGCGGCTACTGAAGTTTAGCAATTACCTATTTGAACAACATAAACATTCCATTTCTCCTGTGGGAGGTAATTTTAATAGCAAGCAGAATATTCAAGTGATTTTCCACGTCTGATGGAAGAATGCGATGGGGAAAGAAAGAAGAGAAAGAGAAAAGAAGGAAGAGCTAGCAGGCAGAGGGGTGGAGTGTGTCCAGAAGTTTCTACCAGCCTGGAGTGCTAGCTGAGTCAAGCTGCTTTAACTGAGCACCGGCCAGCGAAACACCACTGAGGATGAAGAAAGCAAAAGAGAAGATCAAATAAAAATTAAACGTTCTGTTCTGGGAAATCAGCAGGTCACAGATTCTTTCCCTAATAGGAAATCCATTACTAGCCAAGTACTCCATCGGAGAAACCACTCCAAGCGCAGGAAACAGGTGCACTCCTCATTCCCACAGCCCTAGTTTCCAAGCCCTGGGTGGTTTCTCTTTGTGATTCCACTGGAAAGGGCACAGCGATATCACAGTCACTGGTGGAAGGATCGGCACTGCCGCTCCACCACGGGAGGCTGAAACACCAGCCTGGATCTCTCTTCCACGTGCTGAAATGGAGTAGCAACACCGCAGGGGAGCAAAGACCCCGGAGCTCAGCAGAGGCCCCTCTATGAGGTGCCCAAGGGGTGGTTTGTATCTGTGGGGGCTCAGCAGGGGCTGTGACCCACAAGGTTATAGCAAGCTAACAGCTGGAAACTGACACAAGGGTGACATGCGGAAATCATCAACTGTTGTGGGGGGATCTGCTCCCTCCAGAGATGCCAACCCTGGCTTTCAGACTGGGACTCTAGTCTTGGGGGCAGACAGAAGGGCTGAAGATAGCAGAGATGCTCCGAGGAGCAGGCCTGGGAGAAGAGTGTAGAGTGTGTGTTTGTACATTCAGGGTACAAACCTACCCTGTGTCCCTACCCACTGAGCCCTCCTGCCCCTGGCCAGTTCCCAGTGGGTCCCCATCCCCTGCCATCTCTCCTCCAGGATCCTTTCTCTCTCTCCCCTCCCAAACGACTAGATATTTAAGACCTAGAAAAGGATCATAAATACCCAAACACTCAGGGCCCTTTCTCCCGCCTCACTGTCCCAGCAGGGTCCCAGTTCCCTGGAAACCCAGGTGCCCACCCTCTTATTTGACCTCAGGACCTCCTCCCACATCATACTGGCTTCCCGCCAAGTCCCTGTCCCCCTTCCCCAATCAGGCCTCAGTTCCCCACACCAACCTCTGTTTCTGCCCCTGCCTGGGGTACCCTCCCAGGTCTCTGCCTTCTCCCCTACCCCCATCATCAGGGTCAGTGAACCCTACAATCGAATGTGGCGCCCCTGCCCAGCCGGGAACCCTCCCAGCTCTCTGCCTTCTCCTCCTCCAGCAATCGGGGGTTAACACCCCTCTGCCCTTCCCCTCCTCCTGCCCAGCCGGACGCCCTCCCAGGTCTGTATTCTCTTTCCCTACCAGCAATCAGGGGTCAGCTCCGCTCTGGTCCTCCCCTGTTCAGTCAGGCACCCTCCCAGGTTTCTGTCTTCTCTCTTACCCCCATCAGCGGCCAGTTCACCCTCGACTGTGGCTTCCTCCTGCCCAGCTGGGAACTCTCGCTGATCTGTTTTCTCCTCCCCTACCAATAATCGGGGGTCAGCTCCCCTCTGTCCATCCCCCTGCCCCGCCAGGCACCCTCCTAGCTCTGTGTCTTCTCTTCCCCTACCAGCAATCAGGGGTCAGCTAAGCTCTGGCCCTCCTCCTGGCCCCGCCAGGCACAATCCCAGGTGTCTGTCTTCTCTTCCCCTACCAGCAATCAGGGGTCAGCTCCTCTCTGCCCATCCCCACCCCATCCCCGGCCAGGCACCTCCCAGGTCTCCTCTCTGCATTGGGTCAGTTCCCGTCCCCTCCCCCTCCTCTACTCTGTCCCTCCCCCTCCCCGGCCAGGCACCATCCCGGGTCTGTTCCCTCTCCCTGCCCTCCTCGGGGCGTCCCCATCAGGGGCTGACCCCCCCCACCCCGCAGAGGCCCAGGCCCAGGCCCCCTCCCACTTCAGAAGCCCCCTCCCGCTCCCGCCGATAGACACCGTCGGCTGCAGAGACGTCTCAGCCGGAGCCCCGGAGCCCGCGTCCCGCCCAGTGTCGAACCTGAGGCAGCCCCGCCGGGTCCTCCCGGCGCCACGGCTCTCCGCAGGCCGGGGGTCCAGGTTGGGGCTGGGGCCGGGGCCGGGACTGGGGCTGGGGCCTGGCCCGGGCCAGGTGCGCGGGGCGGGAGGAGGGGCAGGCGGGGTCCTGGCCAGGCTGCAGGAGCCGGGACTGGCAGGGGCCGGCGCGGCGGGACTGTTACCTGTACTGCAGGCCGCTGCCCTGCGCGGAGCCGAAGTAGTGACTTGCCGCCATCTTGGCGTCTTCCCCGAGCCCGGCGTGCCCCCTGACGTCACCTGCCCCGCCCCCGAGCCGCGTGCCGCTCGCGCCCAGCCACGCGCCCCAAGCCCCGCCCCCTGCGCGAAGCCCGCACCTTCTCGCTTCCTTCTCTTAGGCTGGGGAGACACCGCCTCGTGACCGGCCTGGCCTCGAGGCTCCGCCTCCTACGCAGAGCCCCGCCCTCCTCTTAACTACCTAAATCTGGAGGTCTCTGCTCAAGCCCCGCCCATGCTAGAAGCCCCGCTTCTTTCTTGGAGCCCCACATTCCCTTTAACCACTCACATATGGAGGTATCTGATCAAGTCCTGCCCATGCTACAAGTCCCGCCTCTTACTCAGAGCCCTGCCTTCCATTTACTCACTCATAGGTGGTCTCTGCTCAACCTCCACCCATGCCACAAGCCCCGCCTTTTTCTTGGAACTCTGCCTTCCCTTTAACCACTCAGATGTGGAGGTCTCTGCTCCAGCCCCACCCATGCCACAAGCTCCGCCTCTTTCTCGAAGCCCCGCCTTCCCTTTAACCACTCAGATGTAGAGGTCTCTGCTCAAGCCCCACCCATGCCACAGGCTCCACCTCTTACTTGGAGCCCTGCCTTCCCTTTACCCACTCAGATATGGTCTCTGCACAAACACCGCCTCTGTTTCCGAGCCCCACCTTCCCTTTAACCACTCAGATGTGGAGGTCTCTGCTCAAGCCCCACCCATGCCACAAGCCCCACCACCACAGCCAGCTCATTTTTTAATTTTTTGCATCTAGCCTCAGAATGATTCTTCAGGTGGCTCCCATGGTCTCTGCCTCCTGTGTTCACAACCTGATATAAATAAGTGATAGGCCAGGCACAGTGGCTCGCATCTGTAATCCCAACATTTTGAGAGGCTGAAGCAGGAGGATCTTGAGTCTTAGGAGTTTGAGACTAGCCTGGGCAACATAGCAAGACCCCGTCTTTACAACTTTTTTTTTTTAATTAGCTGGACATGATGGTACATGCCTGTGGTCCCAGCTATTCAGGAGGCTAAGGTAGGAAGATCACTTGAGCCTGGGCGTTCAAGGCTGCAGTGAGCTATGATTGTACCACTGCACTCCAGAGTGAGACCTTGTCTCAAAAAAGAGAAAAGAAAGGGCTGGGCGTGGTGGCTCACGCCTGTAATCCCAGCACTTTGGGAAGCCAAGGTGGGCAGATCACCTGAGGTCAGGAATTCAAGACCAGCCTGGCCAACATGGCAAAACCCTGTGCCTACTAAAAATACAAAAAAAAAAAAAAAAAAAAAAAAAAATCACCTGAAAGTCAGGAATTAAGACCAGCTCACAACATGGCAAAACCTCAGCTCTGGCTAAAAATACAAAAAAAAAAAAAAAAAAAATTAGCCAGGCCTGGTGGTGCACACCTGTAATCCCAGCTACTTGGGAGGCCAAGGCAGGAGAATCACCTGAACCTGGGAGTCAGGATGCAGTGAGCCGAGATCACACCACTGTACTCCAGCCTGGGCAACAGAGCAACACACTGTCTCAAAACAAAAAAAAAAAACAGGAAAAGAGAGGAGAGGAGAGGAGAGGGGAGGGGAGGGAGAGGAAAAGGAGAGGAGGAGAGGAGGAGAGGAGAGAGGAGGGGAGGGGCAGGGAGGGAGGGAAAGGTAGGAAGGCAGGGAGGGAGGGGAAAGAAAAGAAAAGAAAAAAGAGAAAGAATTGAATGAATAAATAAATAAATGGAGGCAAACAGACACATGTCTTATGTAGAAGAATTCCTAATTTGTGTAGCTACACTGCCCTTAAGGAGATAGAGAGTAACTCTACACCTGTTGAGTGTGGGCTGTGCATAGTGACTTCCTTCCCAAGAGTGCAGCGTGGAAGGAGGGGGAGGGAGAGTCACTTGACAATATTGAAACCTGACAAGCAGCAGAGCGTTTGGCGGTCCCGCAGATCTGTCTCTTGCTTCAACAGTGTTTGGACGGAACAGATCCGGGAACTCTCTTCCAGCCTCTGACCACCCTCCGATTTCCTCTCTATTTCCAACCTCCAGGACCATCTTCTCAGTCATCTCCTGCTTCTCGGACCAGCCAACACCGTTTCTGTGGTTAGCTCCTTCTTGCCGACCAACCGTGTGTGCTCCCAGATTCGTCAGGATTATTCCACCGCCTGGTCAATTTGCACCTGCGGGCCTCCTACACCTCCTCCCTCCGCGCTTCTATTTCCACCACCATGATGTGGCTCCGGAAGGCGGGGGCCACTTCTTCCATGAATTGGCCAAGGAGAAGCGCAAGGGCGTTGAGCGCCTCCTGAAGATGCAAAACCAGCGTGGTGGCCTTGCTCTCTTCCAGGACTTCCTGAAGCCAGGTCAAGATGAGTGGGGTAAAACCCTGGAAGCCATGGAAGCCGCCATGGCCCCGGGAATGGCACGGCAACCGGGGTCTTTTGGATCTTCATGCCCTGGGTTCTGCCCCCACAGACCCTCATCTCTGTGACGTCCTGGAGAGTCACTTCCTAGATGAGGAAGTGGGCCCTGCGCGGTGCCTCACATCTGTAATCCCCGCACTTTGGGAGGCCGAGGCGGGCGGATCACCCTAGGTCAGGAGTTTGAAACCAGCCTGGCCAACATGGCAAAACCCCAACTCTACTAAAAATACAAACATCAGCCAGGCATGGTGGCGCACGCCTGTAATCCCAGCTACTCAGGAGGCTGAGGCATGAGAATCGCTTGAACCCTAGAAGCAGGGGTTGCAGTGAGCTGAGATCACGCTACTGCACTCCAGCCTGGGGAATAGAGTGGGGGGTCTTCGAACGCTAGACTCCAAAAAGCATCATTAAAAAAAGAAGAAGAAGAAGATGGGTGACCCCCTAACCAGCCTCCGCAGGCTGGCCGGCCCGGAGGCTGGGCTGTGTGAGTATCTCTTTGAAAGGCTCACTCTCAAACACGACTAGGAACCTACTGAGCCCAGCGACTTCTGAAGGGCGCCTTGTAAAGTAACAGGGCTTCTGCCTAAGCTTTTCCAGCCACTAGGCAGCTTTTTTGTTTATTTGTTTGTTTGTTTTGTTTTGTTTTGAGATGAAATCTTGCTCTGTCGCCCAGGCTGGAGTGCAATAGCACAATCTCAGCTCACTGCAACCTCCGCTTCCCAGGCTTTGGCGATCCTCCGACCTCAGCCTCCTGAGTAGCTGGGATTATAGGCGCACGCCAGCACACCTGGCTAATTTTTGCATTTCTAGTAGAGACGGGGTTTCACCATGTTGGCCAGGCTGGTGTCAAACTCCTGAGCTCAGGTGATCCACCCGCCTCTGTCTCCCAAAGTGCTGAGATTATAGGCGTGAGCCACCGCGCCCGGCCCAGTCTATGGTACTTTGTTGTAGCACCCTGAACAGACTAAGATGCCCACTTTGAACACTAGACTCCAAAAAGCATCATAGAAGTCGTGGGCTTCTGTTAGATGGGTGTGGTGGCAGGTGCCTCAGAAAGTTGAGGCGGGAGGATCACTTGAGCCCAGGAGGCAGAAGTTGCAGTGAGCCAAGATCACACCACTGCACTCCAGCCTGGGTGACAGAGCCAGACCCCCTGTCTCCAAAAACAAAAACAAAAACAAAAACAAAAAAAACAAAACAAAACAAAAAAAAGGGATCGGGCGCATGCCTGTAATCCCAGCACTTTGGGAGTCTGAGGCAGGCGGATCACCTGAGGTCACGAGTTCAAGACCAGCCTGGTCAGCATGGTGAAACCCTGTCTCTATTAAAAAATACAAAAATTAGCCAGGCGAGGTGGTGGGTGACTGTAGTTCCAGCTACTCAGGAGGCCAAGGCAGGAGAATTGCTTGAACCTGGGAGGCAGATGTTGCAGTGAGCTGAGATCGCGCCATTGCACTCCAGCCCAGGTGAGAGAGTGAGACTCGGTCTCAAAACAAAACAAAACAAACAGAAAGGAAGTCTTGGGTCTTGGGCATCTATGAACTTTTGCTTTGCTGAAGTCTTTCAAATCAGTTGGCTTTTTTGACAATGGAGTATTACGAGAGCATTAAAGTAAGAAGTGCATTCAGCAGGTACAGGGCTACTAATTCTTGGACAGGCTCCATGGAGAGCCCAGGGTGCTGCGGGAAGCCACATTTGGTGATTTAGCGGATGGCACTCTTCCATCTGGATCTCCATGACCATGTGTGGCCACCAGGAATGGTCTGGTGGGTCTGGCCAGTGAAGCTCCCCCTGCCATGCCCTGGCTAAAGTCCAACAAGGTAATTAATTGCACATGGCCTCTCTCCAGGTCCCTGCCATTCTAATTAGGTAACGAAGGCTGCATCTCTTTACGAAGGATCTGTTATAGTGTTTTCTCTGGCTTGCATTTTTTCTCTTATGTACTACAAGGATTGTGCTAAATGCTTTCCATGCAAAATGTAATCTAGTTCCCACAATAGCCTTCAGAAGACAGTGGCTCATGCCTGTAATCCCAGCACTTTGGGAGGCCGAGGTCGGGAGTTCGAGACCAGCCTGGCTAACATGGTGAAAACCCATCTCTACTAAAAATACAAAAAAATTAGCCAGGCGTGGTGGTAGGTGCCATAATCCCAGCTGCTCAGGAGGCTGAGGCAGGAGAACCGCTTCAACCCTGAGGGCAGAGGTTGCAGTGAGCCGAGATCAAGCCACTGCACTCCAGCCTGGGTGAAAGAGTGAAACTCTGTCTCAAAAAACAAAACAAAAGAAAAGAAACAAAAAAACAGCTTTCAGAAGTAGAAACGGGCCAGGTATAGTGGCTCAAAGCAGTCACCCCAGCTACTTCGGAGGCCAAGGCAGGAGGATCGCTTGAGCCCAGGAGTTTGAGACCAGTCTGGGCAACACAGGGAGACCCCATCTCTACAAAAAGTACAAAAGTTAGCCAGGTGTGGTGGCATGTGCCTGTAGTCCCAGCCACTTAGGAGTTTTTTTTGAGACGGAGTCTCACTCTGTCGCCCAGGCTGGAGTGCAGTGGCGTGACCTCAGCTCACTGTAGCCTCCACCTCCCAGGCGCAAGCGATTATCCTGCCTCAGCTTCCCAAGTAGCTGGGA